TCTTCAAGAAACCACAATCCCTAGAACTTGAGGGCACAAATGGCATCCTCGTGTAATCATCGATGCGATTATCCAGAATTTTGTTTAATTCCATCACCATGTGGTTGTATATATAGCAAATGCATTCCGACATGAAATGGAGGTTTGCAGATTCTCCCTAAGAACCCATGATGAACCTAGGAGCCTAGGTTTGCAATGAACCCAGCTTATGGGTTCGCAACAAACCCAGGCGCCTGGGTTCATCGCGAACCCAAGAATCCATGATGAACCCTGGAGCCCAAGTTTGCGATGAACCCAGCTAATGGGTTTTAGACGAACCTAAGCTCCTAGGTTCATCGCTAACCCAGGAACCCACGACGAACCCAGGCGCCTGGGTTTAGGACAAACCCAGCTCTTGGGTTTGCCTGGAGGTAAAAGAAAAAAAAAAACTGGAGAAAGGAAATGCTGGGGAAGAAGATGGGGTGTAAATAAGTAATTAAAAGTAAAAAAAAAGTTAACTCTGTCATCAACTTTTGTGAAATGGATTTTTCACGTAATTTAAGTAAATAAATAAATAAATTTTTTCCGTTAATTAACTTGCTACATTAGCCAAAATTTAATGGATGGACTAAAAAGGAGTCAAATTTTAAAATTTAAGAATCGAAAAGGGAATTTTTTTCAGTACAAGAACTAAAAAGTGACTTTTTCTCATAGTAGAGGGACTAAAAAAGGTATTTAACTATATAAATATAATGTAAATATAAACATGATAAAATTGAGCAACATTTTAATGGAAATGAGAGACATATAAGGGAGTAGAAAAAAGAGGAAGAAGAAGAAGATGAAAACAAAATGAGAGGGATAGGCAGTTCTGAGAATATATAAAGCCTCTTACCTATGTGTACTTTGTCGGTATTTATGTTACGAACATAAGGCACTTGGGTTTTATAAAATTTCACGCGGGAGCAAAAATATTTGAAAATTTTGTGCTCCTGCTTCACTTTTTATCGACAAGGTGATTGTTGAAAGCTAAAAATAAAAAAATTTTAGCTTCCCGCCATCATTTACGATTTACCAACAAATGCATGGTGGGAAGTTGAAAGATGAATTTTTTACCACCATCAAATAATTATTATAATATTATTAAATTTTCGTTATAATATTCTTATAGTCAAAAGATGAAACCTGCACTTACAACTAGGAAAGGCCAACATTAAAATTTTCATTATAATTTTCGTTTAGAAATGTGTATATAATATTTTTATAGTCAGAAGATGAAACCTACACTTACAACTAGGAAAGGCCAACAAAGTTCACCGATGTAAAGCTCATCAGCCATAGCATTTTCTGCTCATTTACCTGAAAATCTGCCTAAGTAGATATTACCAAGATTTTTGCAATTTACCGACAAGCTTGTTGTCGCATGATCTTGAAGTTACCGACAAAACCATTGTCGGTCTCCAAACTCTCTGCCCACTGCACCAAAAAAGCTATCAGAGCTGGGGGAGAGAATATTTATATGTCTTACCGGCAAAAGATGTGTGTATATTGTCTAAATTTACTAATAGAGTCCTCCTCTGAAAGTAAAATAATATAAATTAATTTTGATGGTACTGTGTTTCATTTTACAGACTTTCCTTTTGTCGGTAAATCATTAGTTCACCGACAAATCGTCTTACATCAGTGATTTTTCATCAATGATTTTATATTTTCTAATAGTGATTGTTCTTAAATTATTTTTCTAAAATTTTATTTGGAAACACTTTCTGATTATTTAGTTTTTTTATATTTATTTAAAAATATATAAAATATTGATTAAATTAATATATTTTATACTATCTCTTTAAGATATTAAAGACCAAAAAATCTTAATTATATTGTAGTTACAACTCAACACTCCTAGACTAAACCTTAAAAAAATATTTTCATTATTTTTATTTATCTAATTAGTTAATTAAAAATTAAAAATCAA